ACATTTCCCACGAGCCCCTCCAAGTCCTTTGTTGCCTGGGCAGGTTGGCCAGTGCTCGCTCATTACCGAGAGCCTGCCCCTAAGCGCTTCGTGCCCCTACCCAGGGCTCCAGCCATGCCATACCTGCGGCCAACGCGTGGTCCCGCTTCAACTTCTCGCCTTCTTTCCGCAGCCTTCCGATCTCCAGGTCTCTCTCGTAGAGAGAATGGCTGAAAACCTGGCTCGAGCCTTTCTGCAGGTGGCTGATCTGCAAAACACAGATTCACCCGCGTTCCTCACCGGACGCCTTATTACCTCCATTACAGCCCCTTTCGGAGAGGGAAATCCAGAGCTTCCAGGTCGGCCTCCGATGGGTTTACTCCTCAGCAGCTTTGACCCGCTCTCCGCAGTCGCTGCTTCGGATCGGATCACCTCAGATCCCTTTTTGCCAAGCACAGTCCAATCCCCATACAAGAAGCACGGAGAAGCGCTGTCTCCCACTGCCCGCCATGCTGGGAGTCCTGGGCTGGGGCTGTGGGACGCTGCTCACGCAGCCACAGGCAGAAACGCCCGCAGATTGATCACCGTCGCAGTGCATGCGTATTTGTCACTCGCACACGCAGATCCAGAGCTGCTGATAACTCCTGTTCACATTTCTACTGCAAAGACAGTTCTCACAGGCCCTGCTGGGAATGGGGAGTGGGGAAGAGCCTGTGCCACCCCCTTCAGCTCTCATCGCCCCGCAGACAACGGGCGGGCAGCACCACTACGCTTCCCGCTGCCCGAATGAGCAGTTCCACAAAGCAGTTCCTGGAGGATATCGAAGAGTGAATCCACCGGTGGGAGAGGCTTCGGTCAGGGAAAGGAAAGCTGCCAGGCAGGCAGGCACCGTGCAGCGTCTCCTCTCGGAGCGGTAACCGCAGCGATGCTGACAGCACTCAGAAAGCCCATAGCCTTGTCCCCCCCAGAAACCTGCTCCTCGACAGCTCCTCGTCACGACAGACAGACCGGACGAGCCCAAGGCATCTCCCTGTCTCCATCAGACCCTGGATGGGATGGGAGGGCGGGCTGCGGCCGGGATGGGCTGGCGAAGATGCCCGGCTGCTGACCGGCACGCGTCCCACCAGACGCCAAGGGCCAGTCCAGCTGCTGTTTCCCTCCCCTGTGCCGCGTTACAGATCCTACTGCATACACGGCATATTTATTTACTGGCCGCTCTCAATAAAGCTTGCAGAGACAGCCCACCAATGCACACACCAAAATAACTGGAAAATAACAAAAAACCCCTCCCTCCTTTCCCTCCGCTTCAGCCACGCGCCCTGCTCCTCCGACAACCCGGGTGTTCACCTAAGCGTACCTCTGCCTCAGAGAGGGACTTTCCCTGCTCGGTGCCCGTTCAGGCGTTCAGTACCTGTTCCCTCAAAGCTTTGATCTCCTCCGTTTTGGCTGCCAGCTCTCGGTCGAAGGTGAGCAGCTTCTGGGTCAGCTCCACCTCGTTCCTCGCTGCCGCCTGCGCCAGCGTCTTGGCCATGGCTGCGATCTCATCCTGCAGGTCTCGTATCATGGCGTCTTTCTGCTTGAATTCCGTTTCCGAAGCAGAAAGGCGACCGCTTGCCTTCTGCTTTTCACCCTGCGGGCAGATTACAGGCGCGGTCCGTCCCTCTCCGGCTACGGAGCCG